TCCATTATTTGAATAATTCATAATTTAAGTTTAGATTGTATTTTTTTCTTAATTTCAATAATATAGTTGTAATATTTGTACAATATTTCGGTCATCATTGTAATCTACCGGCAATCCATTAAAATGTATAATGAAAATTATTGTAGTATCCGATTCAATTTAAATGTTGTCTAAGATTTTTGTTCTCTTATTAAAAAAACTAATAAATATGCATAGATTTTAGAAAAATATATATAACTAGAATATTATTTCTCACTAATCTATATATAATATAAAAAGAGGATTTATGCTCTATATGATTGACATGTGGCAAATGATGATGTCATTTGTCAAAATTGCTTAGTTGGAGTTCAATTGATTAGGTGGATTCTTCAATTGATTAGGTGGCATTTTTATTTATGGATGTTTTTTAGTTCTTTCCTATTTTACATTTACACAATCATTTAATATTTACCACATGTATATATATTATTTCCAAAGTTAATATTTTATAAATTCGAAATAAAAAAATCTTATTTATATTTTCAGTATTTCAAAATATTTTTATTGAAAAAAATTCATGAAACTCAACTTTTTACGAATATTCAAATAATTTTCATAAAAAAAATGTTTTTTTAAATACTAAAATATTAAAATAAAGGAATATGTTGTTGTTGTTGTTTTTTTTTTTTTTTAATCTTCAATATTTTAGAATATTCGAATATCCATTCCATTAAAAATAATAATAAAAAAATGTTTTATTTTTTAATTGAACTATTTACTAAATATACACTATTTTTTTAATATAATTTTTATTATACCATATTTCAAATTAAAAATAATTATACTATTTAATAAATATGCAATATTTTGAAATTTGAAAATTTAACAATTTAAATGCAGTATATTTTAAGAAGGAATCTATTATTTACTCCTATGCCACCGAAATATATTTATCATTTGAAGTATGAGTACCTTTACTTTAGTTGATATTTCCATAACTTTGTAAAGCTTTCTAATTTAAATGCAGTATATTACCCCAATTTTTATATATTTAACAATTTAAATAAAATATCAAATCACCAATACAAAGAAATCTTTAATATTCCAAGATTCCTTCATATCATCTTTGATTGATTTAATTTACACTTTAATTCAAAATTGAATGGTAAAAAATAAAAATCGTATCTTCATATTTAATGTTTTTATATTGCAAGATCTTTTTCCACAAGTTATTTTTTTTATTTTTTTTGGGTTGTTTCCTTTATTTGTTTGATTTGATTTCATTTACTAATATATAAATTTTTTGAATTTTTTATTTTTTCCATAGAATTAAGTTCATTTTCAATACTATATAAACCCCTCAATGTTCATTTCATTTTTATCTACCACCATTCGATTACAAAGTGCACAATGTTCGTATTATACAGTTTCATATTACATTTTTTTTTTATCATTTCTTATAGATTATTATAAGTATATATGCATAGTTTTATATTCATAATTATTTTTATATATACATATTAGTACTATACGTATTGAATGCGATATGGTATTCTTCATATTTTTACTTGCTTTAAACATTGTATTGAATACATGTGTACTATACATTAGGATTTAATTTAATCATTTTTCAGGTGACATTGAGGTCTCCAATACATTTCATTCTTCCCGGTTTATGATAAATGCAAACATTGACGAAATCAATGACTACAAATCAAGGTTTGTTTAAACATAAATCTTTGTGTATATTTTTTATTTTATATAAATCCACCTTATTAATCCAACCTTGAGTGTTTTTACAGACTCAGCGAGCCAGATAGTTGTCGAGTCGTAAGTCAAATGTCATCAAATTCTTCGTACTCATATGAGGACGACTTTGTTCATAAGTCTGTTAGAAAGACTTTGGATGACTTAAATGAATCGCCTGAGGTATTCCTACTTTGTTTCATAATTTTCTCTGCATATATATATAATTTTCAAACTGCAATTATATATTTTAATGTATTATCGTATTAAATTCTAGATTGGCACATGCATTGTATTGGCAACGATCACAAATTTGGTGAAAAAATCAAAGTGGTGGTTTTATAGCTGCCCGAATACGAAGTGTAAGAGATCCGTTGAGAAGGATTTGAAGATGTGGTATTGTGTTCATTGTGATAAGAAATATCATTCGGCTAACCCCATGTAAGCACTATTTAATTTTATTTATTTTATAAAAAAAATCAATTTTTGTTTGTTAATTACTACTGACATTTAAATATATTAAATTAAAAAGTTACTTAGTACTAGGATTTAAAAAATAGCTAACATTACATCTATTCCAAATTTGTTATAGATTACTATAATCGTGTTAATATATTATACTATTGCTTATAGGTACAAAATTGAGTTCATTGTCATGGACGACACAAATACCGCAACATTGATAGTATTTGGAAAAGATGCAGAAATGATGTTGAATCTTTCTATCGATGCATTAATTCAGCGTATACACGATAGGGTAAAAGTCAATAAGCGTTCGTGATTTTTTTTAAAGTTCGGAGGTACATTTATTTAAACTTATTTTTCGATAATAATTAGGGAGAAGATGATTTGGAATATCCAAACGAACTTGATGATCTGGTTGATAGAATGATGTTGTTCAAACTTAACGTTGTGGAAAAGAATGTACACGATCCAGCAAATTCAACATACCGTATTAAAAAAGTTTGTTTTGATGACTCTGTCATTACTGCGTTTACGGAACATTATCAATTGAATGAGGGATGTACATTTGATTAATTTGCATTATTACTTATTGTTTTTTTTAATCACTATTTAATATAATTTTTGTCTTTTATTTACGTAGAATCATAACAACGGTGGACATTCCCCAAGTGTAAATGATTATAATGGTGGTCCTATTATATCGTCAAAGGTAGATTAAACATGTTCTCATTCCTTATTCAAAAGGGTCTAGAAAATCGATACGTAGTCAATATGTTTATTAAAAACATTGTCTTTTATGCTAGGATTCCTCTTCATTGTCGGAGAATAATGATTGTGAAGTACTTTATGTTACTCCATCGTCAAAGCGACCGGGAGATAGTGTTCTCGAAAAGGTAGACGACGATCCAACACTGCAGCACTCAACCAGTAAATTGATAAAAAAAATTAAGCTAGAGAAAATGGAGTAGTTTCATTGCTCATACTTAATTTTTCTTTTTTTAATTTTCATGTTTGATTTGTTATTTTAGTTTGAACAATATGTTTTTTTTTTTCATTCCGGATATTGGAATTTGTTATTTTAGTTTGAACAATATGTTTTTTTTTTCATTCCGGATATTGAAACGTTCTAAGCTTTAATGTTTTGCAAGTGGTGTTTTCATATGTTGGATCATTTAGATTATAGTATTTTTTATATATTTTACTTTCTCATAATAATGCATATAATTGCTATTGTCACATGTTTTTATACGTAACATTTTTTAGTTTTTTGTTCAATTTGTTATGCACATAATAATGGTCTTTTTAAAAAAAAAGATATTTTTTAGTTTTCTTTTCTTTTATTGTTCATGACTCATTTTACCTTTTAATTACTATAAGTTACATGCTATTTTTATTAAAATTTATATTGAATGATACAAAAGATTTCGAAATTTACATCTATACAGTTTTAAATAATGTGTATTAAGAAAAAAGACAAGAAAACTTGACGTAGAAGTAAGCGGTGGTTAATTTAACAAATTAACCCGAGTTATTTAAAAATAGTATTTAATAATGTGTACCATATAGTACTTAATTATATTACCCCCTATTAAATATATTAATTAAATAAAATACTAAATATATAAAAAAAAAAAAAATCCAAAATTACGTCACCCATAAGTTACTGCCAAAATTATTCCAAAATAAGTTTTTATGAATAAGTTTTTATGATATATATATATATATATATATATATATATATATATATATATATATATATATATATATATATATATATATATAG